AGCATATTACTAGACAACCTTATTAGAAGATCAGTCATGTTACTACGGCTGCCATTTATCTTTTCAATGTTGGACATGACTAATATTTTTTTCTTAAACAACTACCAAAAAAACTAGTACATGTAAAGAATTGTTTTTTGTTTTTTTGCTCTGATAACAGCGATATTATTACTATTGTTTGTATTAACCACTTCCTTCTCGTGCCAATTCTGACATTTCTCTCGTATATGTAAAAATCTAAGTTTTTTTGCTAGAAAATTACTTAGAACCCCCAAACATTATATATTTTTTGTATCAGAGGACCTAGAGAATAAAAAAGTGGCCAGTGCAATTTTCTTTGTCACACGGTATTTGTGCAGCAATTTTTCAAAATCATTTTTTTTTTGGAAAAATAAATAAAATTTTTTTTTTAAACAAAAAACATTACATAACTCATATTTGTAAAATATGAAAGGTGATGTTATGCTGAGTAAACAGATACCCAACATGTCATGCTTTAAAATTGTGCACGCTCGTGGAATGGTGTCAAACTACGATACTTAAAAATCACCACAAGTGACGATTTAAAAATTTCTACAGGTTAACAGTTTAGAGTTACAGATGAGGTCTAGTGCTAGAACTATTGCTTTCACTCTGATGTTTGCGGCAATACCTCACGTGCGGTTTGAAGACTGTTTGGGGCGTGACTTATGTATACGTTCACCACTGTGGGCAAGCACATTTTTTTTTACATTAATTTTTATTACTTTTTTTATTTTTACACTTTTACACTTTAAAAAAAAATTTTGATCACTTTTATTCCTAACTCAAGGAATGTACACATCCCCTGTAATAGAAATAAGCAGTGACGGGTCCTCTTTATGGAGAAATCTGGGGTCACAGCTCTCTACAATGTAAAGCATTAGATGAAAAAAAAACACTGATCTAATGCTATAAAAAAAATGGCCTTGTTTACATTAGGAAGAGATGTAATGAAGTCGCTCCAGTCCTTTTAAGACATGGAGATGAGTGGAGGCTATCTTTCCTTCACTCATCTTTATGCCCAGCCACCGCAATCCTCAGATGGGTTCTTGGGCTCACCGATCTTCCAAGTAAGCTTGAGCCTTCTCTCCCACCGCTCCTAAAAGTGATCGAGCAGTGACTCCCCTGCTCAAAGCAGTTTTAGGAGGAATAGAATCGCCTTCTGAAAAAAACAATACTGGGATTATGGCACATTACTGCAGACATAACCCCCGCGTCCCACTCCCAACCCAGGACGTATATATAAAATACAACTAAAGGCAAAACCAACAGCAGGCCTGAAAAAAGGGAATTTGAATATTGCAAACACATTCAATTGAGATCCTTCAGAAAGTTCCCCTGGTTACATGCTATCACCGTTGGTATGTAGCAGTGTTCTGTCTTCTTTCACGCCTGAGCAAGTTCCCACATTTATATTTTGTAACAACATTTCAGTAATTGATCAACATTTGTATGCATCTTAATATTATTGGTAATTTTTTGTGGCTTATACAGTGAGGAACAGAAGTATTTGAACACCCTAAGATTTTGCAAGTTCTCCCACTTAGAAATCATGGAGGGGTCTGCAATTCACTTTGTAGGTGCATTCCCCCTCTGAGAGACAGAATTTAAAAACAAAAATTCAGGAAATCACATTGTATGATTTTTAAAGAATTTATTTGTCCTGCACTGCTGAACATAAGTATTTGAACATCTGAGAAAATCAGTTTTAATATTTAGTACAGAAGCCTTTGTTTGCAATTACAGAGGCCAAAAGTTTCCTGTAGTTCTTGACCAGGTTTGCACACACTGTAACAGGGATTTTGGCCCACTCCTCCACACAGATCTCCTCTAGATCTGTCAGGTTTTGGGGCTGTCGCTGAGCAACACGGAGTTTCAGCTCCCTCCAAAGATGTTCTATTGGATTTAGGTCTGGAGACTGGCTTGGCCACTCCAGAACCTTAATATGCTTCTTACGGAGCCACTCCTTGGTTATCATGGCTGTGTGCTTCGGGTCGTTGTCATATTGGAAGACCCAGCCACGACCCATCTTCAATGCTCTGACTAAGGGAAGGAGGTTGTTGCTCAAAATCTCACAATAAATGGCCCCATTCATCTTCTCCTTAATACAGTGCAGTCGTCCTGTCCCCCTTCGCAGAAAAGCACCCCCAAATCATGATGTTTCCACCCCAATGCTTCACAGTAGGGATGGTATTCTTGGGATGCAACTCATCCTTCTTTTTCCTCCAAACATGACGAGTGAAGTTTAGACCAAAAAGTTCTACTTTGGTCTCATCTGACCACATGACTTTCTCCCATGCCTCCTCTGGATCATCCAGATGGTCATTGGCAAACTTCAGACAGGCCTGGACATGTGATGACTTGAGCAGGGGAACCTTCCGTGCAATGCATGATTTGAAACCATGACAGCGTAGTGTTCTACCGACAGTGACCTTTGAAACTGTTGTCCCAGCTCTCTTCATGTCATTGACCAGCTCCTCCCTTGTAGTTCTGGGCTGATTCCTCACCTTTCTTATCATCAGTGATACCCCACGAGGTGAGATCTTGCATGGAGCCCCAGTCCGAGGAAGACTGACAGTCGTCTTTAGCCTCTTCCATTTTCTAACAATTGCTCCAACAGTTGATCTATATTCACCAAGCTGCTTGGCAATTGCCCCGTAGCCCTTTCCAGCCTTGTGGAGGTCCACAATTTTGTCTCTGGTGTCTTTTGACAGCTCTTTGGTCTTGCCCATGGTAGTAGTTGGTGTTTGACTGACTGTGGGGTGGACAGGTGTCTTTAAAGAGCTCAGACAGGTGCTACTAAGTTAGATTAATGAGTGGAGTAGAGGTGGACTTTTTAAAGGCACAGTAACAGGTCTTTGAGAGCCAGAATTCTTGCTGTTTCTTAGGTGTTCAAATACTTATGTTCAGCAGTGCAAGACAAATAAATTCTTTAAAAATCATACAATGTGATTTCCTGATTTTTTTTTTAATTCTGTCTCTCAGAGTGGGAATGCACCTACAATGTGAATTTCAGACCAATCCATGATTTCTAAGTGGGAGAACTTGCAAAATCGCAGGGTGTTCAAATACTTCTGTTCCTCACTGTATGTAACCTATGTACCATGGCTTGTTACTTGGACCAATGTTTATTATGTTTGACAACCATGTGTTGTACACAGTGGAAATATTTTACAATACATATATTGAACAAGAAATTCTATGGAAAGTTAAAAGACAGGGAAGGTTCTAGCACATGTGTGAGGAATACAGATACATGTTTGGGTTTTCAAAAGCAATCAGGAGGAATTTGCCATGTTGAAAGTAAGCACCAGCAGTGGAGTTATGGTTGCCCATGGTCTGTAACTTTGTAACAGAATGTTAAAGTCCCTGATTAGGTAATCGACAAGTAGATTGCACTGTTTTAAACTACTGCACAGGGTATCTCATTTGTTTCTTCTAATTTGATTTGCTTGACTGTCTGTTGGCTGTGACAGTGAGTCACTGACCTAGAATAAGTATTCAATGATTTGAATCAGAATATTTTTTCCAGGCCAGTGAATCAGAAGCTAATAAAGTCTTGGGCCAGCATTAGAACAAGGCAAGTAACATTTTCAGATTATGAGGTTTGCAATAGCAATATATATAGCTCTCCTGGTCATGGTTTGTACTAATAACCCTTTCAAGTATAAGTATAAATAGATAGAAGCAGAGCACAATAGTATGAAATTACTGTAAGACGTTACTGTAAATCTGTTCTTTATTTGGACCATACAGTGCTGCAAAATGTTAAAAACAGTGTGGTGCATACGTCCATCTAAAACATTGTGTCTAGTAAAACAAAGCTAAGAAAAGAAAACCAAAAAAGTCCAGTTTTAGTTTTCATTGGTCCAAGTCAAATGATACTCAGTAGCTAGTAAGTTCATTCAAAACCCCCACCAACAAGATCACTATAAACATAATATCAAACTAAAGTCTAAACAAATATTCTAATCTTTGACTACACCAGAATGAAAATATGTGCAAATGCTATAAATTCAGCTGTCAGACACATTGTCTTCTATCTTGAACACATGCTTAAGTGTTTAGTTGCTGCCAACATAGCAAAAAATGAAAAGGCATCTGTTACGTCTCTCAGTGCAGTATGGATCACGTATCCTTTGTTTTTTAATGTAATGCCTTAGCTATCGATTTTCATACAACAGAACGTTCTTTTCATACAACATAACAATAATCAGACATTTAAGTTATCTAGTGCATGGTATAAGATACTTTAATAATTTGAATACATATTAAAACATGTAAATCAATTTGCAGTTGACACAAAAAATATTGGATGCCTTGTGTTTGGTGCTAAGAATGTACATCATGAAAGAAAACAAATGTCTCCAGTGATGTCCCCAGCTTCAGTTATTTCAGTTCAATTAAAGGAAAGCCTTAATGTGTTTTTCTCCTCTGGAACTCCACTGAGGACATGGGCAGGAACCTTACTGTAGAATTTGCTGCAGACCACACCACACTCCTATGCTTGGGGCTCTGGTAATATGGTGGAGGGAACAGAGCTTAGCTGTTTCCAGGGGGACCCTTTGCATGGTGCAGAAGTGGCTCCCAACTTAGAGCCATGACATCGGATGGATGTAAATGGCAACTGTTTGTGAGGGTCTCTGCTCGTTTGGACCTTCCAATCACTGACCATCATCAACTGCCAACACTGGTCCAGAGGAAATAGGGATTTAGCCATACTAAAATCATGTAACACACTAGCCTGAACTGACACACTCTATGGACTTTTCAGACCTCCTGCATTATTTAATACTCTAACCTGTGCACTCAATGTTACTCAATACTCTGACCTCTGAACTCTGCTTTACTTTCTTCAGATCCCTGACATCTGCGCAGGGGCGGACTGACAACTCATGGGGCCCCCAGGCAATAGGAAATCATGGGGCCCCCTGTGTCCTCACTCACACTAAAACCACACTTAAAAAAGCCTATGAAAGGTACCAGGGGCATCTCATGGGGCCCCCTACTGACCCCGGGCCCTCGGGCAGTGCCTGAGTGGCTAAATAGTCAGTCCACCCCTGCATCTGTGTTATTTGCTACTCTGACCTCTGTGTTACTTACATCTGACCCTTGGACTGTTACTACTGACTCCTGTGTTACTTAATACTCTGACCTCTGGGCTCTGTGTTACTTACTACTGACTCCTTCACTCTGAGTTACATACTTCTAACCCCTGAACACTGCATTAATTACTCCTGACCCCTGAACTCTTCATTACTTACTACTGACCCATGCACGCTGTGTTGCTCCTAACAACTTATCTCTACATTACTTACTCCTGACCCCTGAACTCTGTATTACCTACTCGTAAACTCTGGGATACTTACTATTGACCAGTGCAGTCTGAACTCTGCATTACCTACAACTGACCCCTGAACTCTGTGTTAGTTGCTCTTGAACTCTACATTACTTAGTTCTCACTCCTGAACTCTGCATTACTTAGTTTTCACTCCTGAACTCTACATTACTTAGTTCTCACTCCTGAACTCTGTATTACTTAGTTCTCACTCCTGAACTCTGCATTACTTAGTTCTCACTCCTGAACTCTACATTACTTAGTTCTCACTCCTGAACTCTGCATTACTTAGTTCTCACTCCTGAACTCTGCATTACTTAGTTCTCACTCCTGAACTCTGCATTACTTAGTTCTCACTCCTGACTCCTGAACTCTGCATTACTTACTACTGATCCTTAAACTCTATGCTGATTTCAACTGACCTCTACATTGCTTACTACAGATCTCTGCATTACATGCTACTGACCTCTGAAAACTATGTTACTTTCCCCTGATCTCTGAACTCTACATACTATTGACCTCTGCATCACTTATTACTCTAAACTAGGGGTGGCGAACAAGTTAGACACAAAGAGCCAAAATTTTAAACTGTGAAAGTCAGAGAGCCACACCACGCAGTGACCTGCCAAAACAGACAAACACTCACACAAAAACACATAATTAAAACCATATTATTCACCATAACACTTTCTTCCCTTACAAAACAACAATGTGTTCATTTCAAGGTAAGTGTCCACCCTCAACACACACATCAAATGCAACTTAGCCAGAGTTAACACATCAACTACCCTGGAGGTTGCTGTGGCACCTGTCTCTCTCTCTCTCCCTTCTCTCACTCACTCTAACACACAAGTATACAAAAAAAAATTCTGAACTAATGGACTGCAGACACAGTACAGGAGATGACCAGAGACTGCGGACAGCACAGGGATGACCAGAGACTGCGGACATGCACAGGGATGACCAGAGACTGCGGACAGCACAGGGATGACCAGAGACTGCGGACAGCACAGGGATGACCAGAGACTGCGGACAGTACAGATGACTGCTGACCTTTGGGGAGGGGGGGGGAGCGGGTACCTGAATTTTTTCTTACTTCCGCAGAGTTTTTGTTTGATCTTACCTGTTCCTCGATCCAGCCGCGCGCTGTCTTCCCCGGCTTCTGTAATGGCGCTCGGCATGACAGCCGGGTGCCCAGTGCGCATGAGCGAGAAGCACTTGCGCTTTGTGATTGGTCCGGCGTCTTCTGGGATCTGTCATGTGTCCCAGGTACCGCCTTACCATTCACAAAAAGCACCGCTTCTTGCGCATGCGCACTTGGCACCCGGCTGTCATGCCCAGTGCCCACACTACAGAAGCCAGGAAGACAGCACGCCACTGGATAGAGGAACAGGTAAAAATACGAGAAACATGAAACTTGGCAAAGAGCCACAGTATACAAAATATGATAAGAGGCAAAGAGCCGCATTCATTTTGGCCGGGAGCCGCACGCGGCTCGAGAGCCGCGTGTTCGCCACCCCTGCTCTAAACTCTTCATTACATACTACTAACCTATGAACCCTGCATTACTTACTCCTGACCCCTGAATGATATTGAATGTCAAGTTCCAAAGGCAGGAATATTTTGTAATATTTTTACAACAACAGTTGTAATTTAAAGTTTTACTAAACCCAGGACCCTACATTCATTATATCTGGTCTCCCACAGTACACAGAACATGGAAGTGCAATTATTTTAGTAAATATAAACTGATAAATACCTTTTTTCATCAGCAGTATATAGCAGTCTTGTGACTTCTATCAGTGTCCAGCAAAGCACTGGTTAAAGCTTGTAGGAGGAGTTTTTATTCAGCTCTAGGAGGATGCAGAATCCCTGACCCTGTCAGGGATCCCCTCGATCCCTGCCGTGATGGTCCCGGCGCAGGCGCACTGCTCCGCCCTGTACACGGGCACTAGGTCCGGGCCGGCCGCGGCGTTCGAGTTCGCGCATGCGCAGTAGAAGCCGCGGTCGCCCGCTGGGCACCAATGGCAGCGCAGGGCGGGATATTTAAAGGTCCCTGAGCTGTCATTTCGTTGCCTTCTGGTCTTACCTGCTTCCTGTGATTCTGTACCTGTGCCTTGTAAGTTTATTGACCCGGATTGTTCTTGACCTGCTGATTTCTCCTGCCCAGACCCTTGCTTGCCTGACCTCTCTCCCTGGATGCCCCTCATTAGATCTGACCTCCTGTTGCTGACCTGGCGTGTGACCCGACGATTCTCTGCCTGCTCCCTTGTACCTTACCGTCCTCTACGTTACCAACTCGGCCTGTCTGACTTCGCACTTGCTCAGCCATCCATCCATCCCATCGGGGTCACCCGACCTCCTCACATCTGGCTCTCCCTGGTTGGAGCCCCTGGCGAACACCCCTACCACTGACAGGTGTGCTCAGTAGTGGCGACCTGGTCTCGGGGTACTACAAGTCCATCCCCACCATCAGGGGCCCTGGTGAACAAGTACCCTGGGGCTTAGACTCCGCGCTCTGGGCACGCCTGACCAGTAGAGTGCTAGTGGTGCCGCTCGGCGGTCCCTCACAGACCCTGTGCTGATCACATGCACTCTCCCAAGAAAAAAAACCTGTATGCAATACACACCAAATTGAGCATGTGCAACTTGCCCCCAAGGTTCTGTTCTATCAGGAGATGGATTGAGTACAGTAGAAGAAGGGGAGGATCAGAGAAGACAGGATCAAAAAAGGCTTTTTACACAATGCAGAGTTCTAACCCCTTAGGTTCCACAGTGAGTATAACAAGCACGCTTTACTGCATATACAGACTGATTTTACTGTCGTGGGTTTAGTAACACTAAGTTTTCTTCAAACCTTCATCACTTCTTAAAAGGGCCCTGCTAGCTTATCTGTTTTTAAAAAGTGTGCTGCATCTTGGTGATCTGTGTATGTTATGTGTACTGTCATACTTCAAGCTTTAAACCATGAAGCAACACCCACTTTATTGGCCATGTCTACAGCTGTTTACTCAGCGGTGTGTTTTGCTCTGCCTTTTTCTTCTTGATACCTTCAAGATGATCCTTCATAACTATGCATATCATTGCACCTCTTTATTTTTTAAATATGTTTATTTTTCCTTTATAATTTAAATGTTTGTCATTTGCTCCATTGTTTGAGGGTGTGTTAAACATGGGGGTGTGAGCTTGTAAGTGTAGCAACTAATGCGGGTGTGTTTGTTGTCAGTATGCTGTAACTGGATTTCAATTTTTAAAATCTGGTAACCCTATCTTGGCTTCACCATGTGGCGTTGGGTTAGAAGGTTATAATTTAAAATCTGAACATGGAAGATATATAGAGTAATAATAAGTAGCATAGAGGAATGGCCAAGTCATTTTCTGTCATTCATGAGTACTATGGGGGAAATTAAATAAAATTGGGGTAGGTAGGATCTGGAGAAAGCATAGTAAACAATCAGCTTCTAACTTTAGCTTGTTCCGCTCTCATGGCGGTTCCTGCTTTCCTATTTGTAATGTCATCTTCTATGCAGTCATGTCTTTAAACAATACAGCAAGGTAGATTAAAGATCTGTGATTTGCTTTGGCTGTAAATCTTAACTGTTCCAGGTGTATGAAGGTTTAAGGTCATAAGGTCTGTTTTTCTTTGGCAGACCTTTAATCCCATCTGTCGAAGCAATCGGTCTTCTCCTGCATATCACAGGAAGTAGAGAAAGCAAATTTATATCATTTACAAAGTTCATGCCCTCTAAAGTTGTATGAATTGTCTACCTGATAATTCACAGTAGCCAGTTTCATGACCTTATGAACGGCAAGGGTGAAAAGGACTTACATCAGTCTTCATTTCAAAGCACAAATATAAACTCATAAAGCATACAAAGCGATTGTAAAGGTTTTTAGTAAGTGCGCCATCCAAGTCCTCATACCCACCGCCCATATGACGTTTTAAAAGTGGTTGTTTTTGGCTTTTGGCGGTGTTTTCGACAGCCAGTAAACTCCCCAGAAGGTTATTATATCCTACTGTATGGTCATGCACACTCCGGTTCGCATAAGGGAGGGGGGGATGAGTGGAAAAAACGGCCTTCCGCAACCCGTTTCGGCCATTTCGAATTACCTGGTCATGCCTTTCGGGGTTGTTGCAATGCGCCAGCCACCTTCCAGCACTTGTAATCGGACATCTTTAGGATCTTCCCTGGACATCTTTGTCATCGTCTACTTAGACGACATTTTGATTTTCTCATCCTCCCTGGGGGAGCACAGGGTACATGTAACAAAGGTTGTTGGGGCGGTTGCGGCAGCACGGGTTGTACGCTAAAGCAGAGAAATGTGTTGCTTTGAACAGGTTAGTGTTACATTTTGGGTCTGATTATCTCCACCACGGGGGTCGCAATGGACCCTCAGAAAGGTCTCTGCGATCCTTGATTGGCCTGAACCCACGGACAGGAAAGCGGTCAACGTTTTATTGGGTTCGCAAACTTCTACCGGAAGTTCATTAAGAACTTCTCGGGTCTTGGTCTCACCCATCACTCAGTTAACCAAGCTTGGGGACGCGATTCAGATGGACGCCAGTGGCACAGGAAGCTTTTGAAGCACTAAAGATGTTATTTACCTCGGCACCATTCTGGGTCATCCCGACGCTCTCCCTGCCCTACATCTTAGAAGTAGATGCGTCAGAAACGCCGGTTGGCTCCATCCTTTCCAGCGAAAGGGCGCCAAGGGAATTACTTCACCCAGTAGCATTTTTCTCACGGAAACTTACCCCTGCGGAGAGGAACTACAACATTGGGGATCGAGAAACTACTGGTATCTATAAGGACCGCATTTAGAAGAATGGAGGTACCTGCTGGAATGGTGACCTCCCATCCCATCCT